CCCAGGCTGGGCTGGCACCCATCACACTGCTCCGATGGGGGGGCAGGATGCTGTCCCTGCCCCGCTGCTGTCCCCGCTCCGCGACAGCACACAGGACGGGCCGTTCCTTCCCACTGGGAATCCCACCAGGGAAGGATGGTTTTGCTGATCCCAACCACCAGCGGCCACCGCAGCCGGCGCCGCCAAGGCCACCTGCACCACAAATCAACCTTTTGGTTAGCTCTGCCAGGTCCCAGAGCAGTCCCAGTCACCAGCGAGCGCCAACACGCACATCAGATCTCTTACAAGCCCTGGGGAAAGAGCTGCCAAAACACAAAAAGCAGCTCAGAAATGGTTGCAGTTAGGAAACCTGCAATAGCAAATTCCCAAGCTTAAGACCAGCAAAATCCAGATCCAGGGAAAAAAACAGGAGATTTAGTCAACAGCTGTCTGCGCTGGCACTGCAGGATTAGAGCGAGGAGCTGCACTGGGGCTTAAGGTCCTGGGATCCTGCTCTGTTCTCCAAGCCAGGGTCCCTGCGGGAGCCAGCAGAGCCAGACGAGGCTGAAATCAGGCAGGAGCCAGCAAGCAGCCATTCGCCGCAGTAAAACTCCTCCTGGAGATACAGGGCAAAGCTTGAGGGGCCGCTACACCCAGGCAGCAGGAGCTCAGAGCAGGAGAGGGGGCTCCCCCTGCGCCCGGAGCTGAGCAGGAGCCCTGATGGGAGGTGGAAGTGTCTCTTCCGGGGAGGAGTCCTGGCATCCCCCTCCTGAGAAACCCGGCTGCAGCCAGCAAGGCCAAGACGGCGGTGCCAGCGCGGGGCACAAGCTGCCCACGCGACAGCCTACGAGTTGCCATCAGGGGAGCAGCCCGGCCTGGCACGGCATCGCTCCTGACGGGGACTGGCTGTGACCATGCTGCAAGCTGCTTGCTGGCAGCCCCAGCAGAGGCCACAGAGCCCGGCCCCGCTCTGGAGGTGGCAGGCACCCAGCCCTCGGCACGCAAGCGACGATGGAGGTGACCCACGAGACCAGCGGTCTCGTTCCAGCACACCAGCCTCCGCGGCCCTTTGGACAAGCTCTCAAGCAAGAGACAGCAAGAGAGACAGCAGCTGGAAGACATCGCCAGGCCGCGCTGCTCCCTGCCTCCCTGGGGCTGCTGGCCTCGCACACAGGAACGAACTTCTCAATGAGCTGACCCTGCCTGGGGCGGGTCAGCCCCACGGGCAGAGATTAGCCAGGAGGACAGTCCTGCTGCCTCTCCCCCAGCTTCGCTGTACATTAACCAGCTGTTTACTGTGCAAACATGTTGTGGGGGGCTCACGCCCACTCCCAAACTCGCCCGCGCAGGCCACGGCTCCCGCCTGCCGCAGCAGAGTGCCAGAGGGCCCCGACAACAGCGGGGCCAAAACCACCCGCCGAGATATCCTACTCGGGAATCCTACCTGCCCGCTGGGGGACCAGGCTCCGTGCTGACGCTGGCACAGCGCGGAGGGAAGAGCAGCGCATCGTTCCCTCCGAGCGGGACCAGAGCCCGCTCGCCAGCTGCGTCCGGCAGGACCAGCCTCCAGAGCATGAGTCAACCTCTCCTCATCACCTTCCCCGTGCGGCTCCTCTGACCCTCTCGGCCTCGCTGCAGCCTCCGCTCCGTGGATGTCAGGTCACTGGGGTGCTGCTGCCTCGCAGGACCTGGGGCACCAGCAAGGGCTCTCTGATCCAAACCCTCTTTTTAAAAGCTTGATGGACTTTGCTTCCCTGTTCCCTCTCTTCACTAACCCCAAGCCTGGGGCGATACAAGAGCCTCCCCTTCAGCAGTCCCTGCCACCTGGAAGAGCCTCTCCATGTCTCCGACTCCCTTGTTTTCTGATCTCACTGCACATTCCTCTCCCCTCACTCGCCCATCCCTCCCCCGTCGCGCATCTGCTCCGGGAAGGACAGCGCTCGCCTGCAGGACCCCGAGGCTGCCAAAGCAGCTCACGGCACTTGCTCCCGGCCGCGGAGGCAGAGACTGCAGAGTCCCGCTACTGGACTGCAGACTGGGTTGGCAAAATCCACGTCTCCGGCAGCTGAATTCTGGCCAAATCCTAATCCTGGCAACATTCACACAATCCCCACTGACTTCACAGGGCCAGCGCAGAGCAAAACACGAATCGGAGCCGATCATCTCTTCTAGATAGTTTCCCCTGCATGGGAAACCACGTTCCTGGAGATATGCGGCTGCGTTCCTGGCCTCTCTTCTTCACCACCAGCCCCCAAATATCCAAGAGCAGCACCGCTCGGCTCCTCTCCTAAGATCCCTTTGGCCCCGTTCTGGGAAGCCCTGGGTCAGCACAGGATAGCAACGCTCATTCCCCACCCCCAGAAGCTGCCGAATGGGGAAATCTTGGCCACTGCAGGCACAGACGAGGAGACCAGACGCAGGCGCGTCCCACAAGCCCCACTCAGCCGGCTCGCCCAAGCCAGCAGTGCCGCTCCCAGTGCTACATTTTCTCAGGCTTTGGCCAATCTAATTTTAAGTGTCTCTAGGGATGAAGCTTCCGCCACTTCCCGTGGGAGCCAGCTGCACGGTCCTACAGATCGCACAGGCGGGAAAGACTAACGCAATGCTCAGCCTAAAGCTCCCAATACACCGAGAATCCCCGGTGCTCACGGAGAAGCCTCCCAGGTCCTGCAGCTAGCAGAAGATCGCTCAGCAGAGGTGACTTCCACACGGCAGCGCTGCTACCAGGACTTCTGACTTGGAAACCGTGATCCCAAGCCAGGGCCCTCCCAGCACCCAGAGCTGACTGAGACCCAGCGGGCACAGCTGGAGCCTGGAGGCAACTGCCCATCCCGGAGCCGTGGGCACAAGGACCCCTCCTCTCCCCCAGAGCAGTGGAAAGACAACTGTCAGCGAGAGTCCTCGTGAACCTGCCGAGCCCTTAGTCACACAGACGCCACAGGCGGCAAGA